GCTGTTCAGTGGGCCACTTCACTACCAAACGAAACTCTGTCTATCAACATTTACAGTGATTCTCTGTCTGTCCTAAAAGCTCTATTAAATCCCAATTGCAATAGCAATAAAATCGCATATATCCAGCACCATATTAAAAACCATGTAAATAAGATAACTTCTATATTTGTTCCTGGCCATACTGGCATACTAGGAAATGAAAAAGACGACTTTGAGGCTAAGTCAGCTGCAAAGGACACTGATTTGGACTACATTCGCATCCCTTTCTCACGTAGCAGCCTTAAAAATTATACTGTATTCGTAACAACGTTATGCAAAAGTGGAACCAGTAAAAGTAGTTAAGCAGTAAAACTGGTAGAATAACAAGACTTTATTTTCCTAGTGTTGAATGAAGGTTCTCATCACCACTTAAAGATTTAACATTTGTTACTGCTCAACTACTTACTGAGCATGGTAATTTTATAAGCTACCAAGCGATGTATAACGGGCAGAAACTGCTTCTTGCTTTTGTGTACAGAAAACCTAGACATCGTCGACCACGTGCTTTATCATTGTCCAATTTACGATCAACATACACTTATTCTGAGATTAGAAATTTTTACGCTTGGTTTCGGGTGGCCACGTCCACTCGATAAGCTTGTTCAGAAACCACTATTTCATGCTTTTTACAATTATGTTAAAAAATATGGAAGAAAAAACTATTCATAATTTCTGGTTTTACATTTTAGTTTTCACTGAAAGCCGAATACTAATTTTATGTTTACTTTGTATCATGCATTTTGGTTTATGTATTCTTAGTGTTATACAACCCAAAGGAGTGGTGCACTTATTCTAATAAAAAACAAGAGAGAGAAACCACCACACGGCCTTTCTCCCATGACAGAAAATGTGTAGAGCGTAAATCTGCTAGCGTTATTACTCTATCACGTCACACGAGACAACCAGCGTTTTTAATAGAAACCGCCAAATTGAAGCCAAATTCAAAACGCCACCACTCAACGAGATCAAAAAATAAAAATAAGAATATTACGTAAGACGAGATCTATTACCCCCCTACCCATGAGTAAGAAATAGTAAGAAATCCTTGACCCCCACCCACCCCAAAACACCTTACGTAATTTATGGACGGCCCCTAACATGGTTTTCCTAACATGCCTCGAGTACGAAATAGGCGCAAGAGTCAAACAAACTTTACATTTGTCGCCAAAAAATTTGACAACAAATACGCATATATCATCACATCAGGGGCAATATTCTGGTCACTGTCTCTGGTCTCTCGTCTCTTGCAAGCCGGTCGCTGATTGGCTAATCATTTGGATTAGCCATTCAACGACCTGCTTGCAAGAGACGAGAGACTAGAGACAGTGACCAGAATACGGCCCCAGATGAAATCACAAAAATACGCACTAATACATCACAGATAGTTAAAAAACTTATACACGATCCAATTTGAAGAAAGTTCTTACGAAATGTGCAAAAATATTACAGAAAAAGTTGGAAAACACTTTACTTTTCAATATTTTTGTCGAGAGCAGCGTAGCAGCGTGCTGTCTGTCAGATGGTAATATGGTAGATTGTTATTTACTTTTTTTGCTACTAGAGACACTAATAGCTATTACCAGAGTCGGGATATAAGCGAAGTACGAATTAGGCGCAAATACGAATTAGGCAAGTTCACCCTATAACATAACCCTATTTGGCATTTGACTATCACAGGAACTCACAAACCACTGGAAGCTGAAAAAAATATTACTGGCAGCGTACCCAAAATATGGATTTCATGTCAGTGCAAATGGTAATAATACACCGACTCCCAATAGCTAATTCTATTCTAATTGCAAATAAGATTATAATACTAATCTTAATTGCAAAAACTAAATAATTATAATTTAATACTATCAATAAATTTTATATAGTTTGACTAGAGATTTTAGTAGGTATTTGTCTATGTAGTGTGAAATTCTCCTGCTTAATCTGGATCTTCTCACAGTGTTGACCACAAGCATATTGTAGATTAGTTGTTACCACACGTTCAAATGTTCGTTTTGTAATTCGCCACGTAAGAAGCATTCAATCAGTATATTTTCTACGCACCTAATAAGGGAAATGTTTAACACTATACCAGGCATAGCCAATACACGACCGTGTACTTAAGCCAACATACTTAAGCCTAAATTCTTAAGAAATTTATTTGAATACTAATATTTTTATCCTTATTATTACCTTGGCACATTCAGTTATTATAACCACTACTAACATATTTCTTTGTTTTTTGTCAACTCAAGTACGTAGACTATGCGCCTGTGTCATAAGTATAAGTGAAACACTTAATATTTAAATTTACTATTGCTGTAATTTCCAATCTACAACAAAGTTCTTATTAAATAAAGTGAGTTAACCTGAGTCTCTATAATGCTTTAAGTAAAATGCCCTGTGAATAAATAGAAGAGTGTTTAGCACTACACATTAAACTATTATTGAAAAATTTATGCACAAAATTATTAATACAAGTTAATAAATTTAAAATTTTTACCAAAAGCTGGTTTAAATGTGAAAGGATGAAGACCCTTCTCTTCTCTGTATCCGCTTAATGCCAAACATCCGCCGAAGAAAAACAACTGATAGAAATAACTGAAGAAGATGCACGTTGCGGCATACAAACAGAATATTCTTACACCCGGAAATGGTGACGTCATAGAAATACAATAGGAGATAAAATTCGTTAGAGACGTTATGGTGATGGACACTGCAGCGTTGCGATACGTCTGTTCCATTCGATTTTCTACGCAGTCACCGCAATCTGTTGCCTTCCAGCAAGCCAATACAACAAACGAGTCGTCCACTTCCGTTCCTTTAATTACAGCAAGGAAAAAAATTAATAAAGCAAAATGTATCGGTATTTTAAAGTATTATATGGTTTATCTTACCAAGAATAATGAAAGGAAGACCGACGTTCCACCGAAGATTTTCTACTCCACAGGCGGATAATAAACCGAACGTCGTGGCCACAGCCAAACCGGCGGATACGACACTAGCTACGCCTAACCAGGGTTTGGACTTCACCCAATTGTTAGTCATGTTTGTGGTGATAGAGAAAATGGCCACTACGACCACAGCCACGCTTATCAAGGACACTAAGTTTTGTGAAATGCGTTTTACTTGAAAATCAGTAGAGGAGAATGGATCGGGAAATATTTTAATATGTTCGAAGCTATAATCTTTCAACTTCTTGTAAACTGCCTTTGTCCATTCTTCATTCCACTTTTTCTTACTTGCATTTGATTCATCTAGTACATAGAATAAACGAACGGCTTTTGCTTGTTTTATGTATCCTTTGTTGTCTGTCGTCACCCCTCCTAAATTCAGAGAAAGGATTTTATACGCGTATGTTACAGAATCTATATTCAGGGGATACTTCATTCTTAATATTTCATGAAATGCATTTTCGGAGTTGTTTAGCAGATCAATAAGAGTGTTTTCTAAACACTTGCCATCTTCTATTTGGCACACTTCCGAGTAACCAATAATCTTTCCATGTACAAAAGCTGTGGTATTTTTTACATCTTTATCTACAATTCGTATTTCGTTTAAGAATTCTTTGCGTAAAATGTTATTTTCTTTGTCATTTACTATGTAGATCATTGGAAAAAGTGGGCGTTTAGTAAGACGTAAAAAATCGAAATTATTAGAATTGATAGGAAATGTTTTATCTATAAACTGTTTCGTATCAAAAACTTTACCTCTGTCCGCACTTACGAGAGACTCGGTGTCGTCGTTGGTTTGAATTCTGATTAGCCCAATTGATAATAAACCAGAAAGAATGACAGGAACAATGACAAAATAAAAGGGATATCGACTAACTATTACACCAAGTCGACCAATTATATTACAAAATGTGTTTGTCAGACAGGAACATTTCGTTCTCTTCGAAGTGTCGATTCTTCTTACCTAAAAATTTTAAATTGAAATTACTGCAACATGGGCATGCGAAATGCTTGATATAGTCGAATGATTTTTACCTGTTTATTCATTGCTATCTTGAATTAAGAATCCTGAATTGTCCTAATAATATTCAGCGTAAGGTTTACGACGATTTATTCTATCAGATTGAATGAAGAATATTTCCCCTTTAAAAATATTAAAAATTCTGAATAGAAAACCAGTCAATTGTAAACTGTAATTGCGCTGTGTGACGTCATATCGTCTTTTTTTTCTACGTCTGATTGGTTGATTGCGTGTGACATTATCCAATTGAAGCTATTTTCTTAAATAGTTTCAGTTATTTTTTCTGTCAAAAACGTTTTCACCGAGTGTTGCACATTTATATTAAAATAAAATTTACTAAAATATTATCTGATGTACGAATGTATGAAACAACTTTTTAATTGAGGGGCCTCAAAGTTTTGTTTTTCAATAAACATGCATACAAAATAATCTTCNCTGCTGCAATTTTTAACCTTATTCCGTATTCAGATGTATTCTACATTGTGCAGTACAGTGCATTACACAGTGGCTGATTATCGCCCATCAGAAAAATGATCAACAAACGAAATTCTGTCTTTGTAATTTTATTTATTGAGAATTTTTCTAATATTAAGATGATATTAAATTAGAGAATTATTCAGATCGGAAGTCCGATCCAAATAATTCTCTAACTTACCTGTTCTATGATCATTATAAATTAAGCAGATACAATTGTGGTTGACGAAAAATAAAAAAGAAATCTTTCATTATCAAATATTACTGATTATTTTGCTCTTTGTTAAGTCGAAGAAGAATTAACTGACGTCAATATTACATTAGAATTGTCTGCAATTAAGTAATTTTTAAATTGGAATGTAAAAGATTTTAATTGACTAATCACTTGAATAGTTGATATTAATTAGACACGCTCCTGGAAATAGCGGCATTGATATAGAAAAAAAGAAATCTAATCGAATGACCGAATGACCCGTTTTGTACGAAATAAGCTTTATCATTGGTTTGCTAATTCAGGTATATTAATGCCAATTTATAGGCAACGTGCCTGTAAGGCTGTGTACACATTAGGCGTTTTTAAACGCGCGTTTTAAAGAATCAAGGGTTCTGCATAGGCGTACATACTCAAACGCGCGCTTTTGGCCAAGCGCGCATTGATAGATTTTTGTTAAAACGCGCGTTTAGAGATATATGTGCTGCCATGTTGTTGTATCAATACATTCGATCGCGCGCCTTCGGGTAGAGTGGACGTACGTTGGCCGAATTGGAGAACGATCATTTCGATACTGATCTATTTATTGATGAAATCTAAAAGAAACCAGCCATCGTCAAATGATTTTATAGATATTCTAAAAGAATTTAAAAAATTGAGTTCATATTATCTTAGTTTCGGATACAACGTCAGAAACATTCCATGCGTCAGTCTATCTCGTAATATTGGGTGCACCCAAAATTCTCTTTTCTTCTGTCATCGTCTTTTATAGCGACAATGGAGGAGGCACATGCAAGCAATTACTTTCACGTCCATTTCCAAACTGAGCCAGTGCTAACGCCGAACTAACGCGCGTTTAACGCAACGGAAAACGCCTAATGTGTACAAGCCCTTAAAACGCGCGTTTAAAAACGCCTAATGTGTACACAGCCTTAGTATTAATAAATCGAATGTTCAACGTGCTTTTAACGTGTTTATTTAAATCTCATCAATTAGTAAACATAATGCACAGTACATCGATAGTTCCGTTTAATTCTGATCTTTTTACGTCATAATCCACTAGAATAATGACGTTGATACTAATGTGATGTTAATGTTAAATACGCTCTTATTGGACAAAACACGATGTTTGTTTAATCAATTAAATTGAAACTATTTATTATAAACATTTCTGGAATAACTTTATTCAGAATTCTCTTTTACAGTCGACCCCCTATAACACTGTTGATTATTCCGTTTTATATGAATTCGATGTTGTACGAGTCACTTAGATTTTACAAACACGTGTGCCAGGCTGTGAACGGCTCACGTATTTGTAAAATTTAAGTGATTCCTACAACATGGAATTCATATAAAATGGAATTATCAACAGTGTTATAGGGGGGTCTCGTTATTGCGTGACATGCGACAACTGAATTTACATAAATTCGCAAAAACTTTGAACAAAAGCGTCCTTATTGAAACAATACAAATTCAGTATTAAATAAACCAGAAAACAATGTTTGCTCATCTTTTATCGTTAAATATAACGAAACGTTTTTCTAAATTAGAGAAGCGTGTTTAAACATCTGGAATACTTTAAATCATTAAAGCAACTACAAGAACTATTTGTTTTCGTTACTATATACCCATTTACAATAATTAAGTATACCAAAAAGTTACATTAGCGTGCATTTATTAATAGTAACGTCTACATGCACCCACAGAATACAGATGCTCTGCTTTCATCACAACCTCTTGTAAATAACGAAGTAATCGAGATTAGTATAGGAATAACAAATAATGCGTGAAATGTTGTTTGCAGTACAATTATGAAAACGATTTTAACGAAAGTGATGTATACGTACGTATTATAATAGCCGATGATTAACAATACTAATCCAGTAGATATTGCCCCTTGAATTAACGGAAAACCTACGTGACGTAAACTATCTTTTATCTTTTCTTCAGTCGTTAATTGTGGTGAAGTAATGAAAGAATAGCATATGTGAGTGGGATAATTGACGCAAAACCCGATGCAGAGGATTAAGCACATCAAAGAAATGATGTCCAGATTGATTGCCCATAAAGACATGAATCCGATTGTCTGCACGGTGATGGACCCGACACAGATCGCGACAATAAGAGCGCAATGCAAATTGGGAATTAAAGCAACGAAAATGCCGAAGATTAACAAGGAAGTTATCCAAAACAATTGAAACGTTATCTGTGTGATAACGATTCCTTGCTCGGCCATAGGTGATATCATTGTATGGATTACAACGGAAAATGGCTCTTCTTCGGCTATTTTCGATAAATCGTTTACTATTTTGAATTCGGTTAGTCTATTCGAAACATTTTTCGCTGATAATAAGAAACGACTGGCCACAATATCAGTGTAATTGTTATTAAAAATGATGTCGTTTTTAAATTGCTTGGCTCCTATAAATTTCAAGAAGACGTTTCTAAAAGCATCCATGAAATCCTGCTTCTGAGACAGATCGTAACCCCTCAAGGAATACTTTGAAATGGGATGATTTTGTAATTCCTTATAATATTTTAACCAAGAAAATTCGTACTCCTGTCCGGCTATATTTTCAATAGTATGAAATTTCTGCATGAAATTTTCAACTAACTCTTGAACTCGTGGATTAGAATAATCTAAAGTTTCGTTAATTACGACGTGCACCGTAAAAGGATATTCTGTAAAATATTTATAGTAAACATGAAATCCCTGTGTAATTTCGGAGCTTTCTGAATTTAATTTATAAACATTAAACCCTTCCTGTAAGGACATAACACCCCATATACCGATTGACAATAATGTAAAATACAACAAAATAATAAGAATTCGTGATACAGGATGAAAAATCAAAGCTGAAAATGTATATCTGAAGAACTTCATAAAACAGTCTTCATTTTCTTCATTGTGATAGTCACTTTCTCTAATAGTTTCTGTAAAATTAAAATATTTTGTAAAGTTAAATTAAGTCAATCTGGATGAAATTTTATAATAATAAAGAACCATAAACTTTAAAGCGTTAAATATGACAATCATTACAAACATTCGTATATTCACGTCTTTAAAATCATGTTTTGCGAGTACATACACTTACATACTCTAGGTACTATATAACCATTAGAAACATAATTATAGCATTGAAATGAAGGTAATAAATTTAAAATACTGTAAATGAATTTAGAATAATGAGTTAAATTTTACTCACAAGTTATATGAAACATTAATCAAAAATATTGTATGTTTGTATCCATTCTACACTAGGATAAACTTGCCTAATTCATACCCCTTAAGGGAAAACCATCATATTATCGAAATTAATAAACACAAATTATTTTTTTGTTTTAAGTAACTTTTATTTGGGAAATATTTTATTACCATTATAATCAAATTTAGCATAAATCTTATAAACTTCTGAGAAATAAACAATTTAAAAAAACACTAAAAAGTACGATTTAGGACCATTTGTCTTAAATTGTACTGATATATTCTTAAATCGTACTTTGAGATTTTATCATTGGTTTGCAGTCTTAAGAATAAAAATCTTTATCAATAATGTATTAATACGTGTGTATATTCACTCTTAACAAATTCGGATGATAGTTTTCGCCAATTTTTGGCAGTCATCACAGTTGTAATCTGTTGTTTTTTTTTTATTGGTACCTGCGCAAAGTTCATGTACCCATATCTCACATTGTGTGCTTTTGATCATACTTTATTTTACGTCTTATTGGCATAATTTACAGTACCAACTGTTATTTTCATTTTGTTTTTTTTTTTTTATTTTCCTTTTGTGATAATTTTGTAGCTTTATTTTTCTTTGCACCAAGATTCTTTGATACGTTTTCTTCTTGCATTTCCAAAAATACAATGTATTGCAGATATTATTTCAAATGTCGCCCGAACTGTCTCTATATTAGAAAGGTTTACTTTCATACCTAAAGAGCATTCCTTCGCTTTCTCTTCTAGACATTGATCTCGCTGTATTTCCGAAGGGTGAGTTGTTGGTACCTTAGGAAGCTGTGGGCAGCGGCGGCCTTATCCATTGCGAGGCTCTGGGCGGCAGATCTTTGCGAGGCCCTTGTCCTTTGTGCAAAGTATGTAAATTGAAATAGTAGGCACTTANTCAAACAGTACACTTCTTATTCCATTTGAAATTTACAAGGGTCATTTAAACCTAATTTATTTAAATTATAATTGAATTAAACCACTTGTAAAATTCCAATCTTGAAAATATTTTGAAAATTAAAATATGAAATGACATACAGAAAATGATAACAAAAGTCATATAATTACAATTAGTATTTCTATAAAGGGGTATATATCTATACTACTAGTTGCTT